CGCGTGAAAAAGTTATTGATGGAGCAAAAAATAAATTGACATATTTTTTTTCTCAAATTCAAAAGCATTACCTATCATCTCCGATAAAGTTTTCTTAAATAATCACTCTAGTTATGCTGCAACATCGATTTAAAGTCAAGAACCAGGCACGGGGGACACGCAAATTTGGGACAAATGTAGGCAATTTGCACATTCAAAGTTCTCCGAAATTTTTATTTCAGTCCAAATAAAGTGGGAAGTAGCATGTAATAGTCAACAATAGTGTGGAAAATGAGAAAAAAATTTGATCTGCCCATGATTCTCAGATTATGACGATTAAAACAGCTCGGGACACCAAATTAGACGCTTATTTGAACTCACCCTCCTATTCAACAGATGTCAGACGTCTAAAACCATTCCACTTGAGTATTTTCGAACTTATGATGTCGGCAAACTTCTTTCATTGAATCGTCGTCCATCTGGCGTAAGGGCGTACCTCGATTTCCTCATGAGCCCCAGAGAGCATGGATTTCTATGTAACACAGGGTTCACGTTGAAAATGAGGTGCGCCCTCACGTCATAGGGGCGACGAAATGAGTTCGAACTAAAAATTGGATTTGATGTTCTGCTGCAGGGTCATATCCTGATTGCCAAAGGAAGATGCGGATTGGGGCTTCAAAGTTTTGAAATAAACTCTCCGTTCACGATATTGAGACGAAGTTAACCCCTTAATACAGGTTATTTGGACCGCGTTAAACAGAAAGGAACCAAGTCACATCAGCTTTTGCCAAATTTAACTAAGCTATTCAATTTTTTACGAGGGAACGTTTGTGTGGATTCCTTTAAAATTTTAAGCAATTTGTTTCGTACTGTGGAGAAAATCCACTCAGTGGATTTTCTCCATAGTACACAGTTTCTCCACAGAACACATAAAACACAGTTTCTCCACAGTTAGTCTCCATAAAAATTTGCACGAAAATCCGGACAACCGTTTGCATGCAAAAAATTAAAGTGCCTAATTAAATTTGGCAATAGCTAGTGTGGCTTGGTCCCTTTCTGTTTAACGCGGTCCATGAAATTGTTTGAGGAACAATGTTGATTATTGGTCTTAAAGACGCTAAAAATGCAAAACAACAGAGCGAGAAAGTAAAAAAAAAAGTATCAGGGGGCTGCCTCTATCTTGCATTTTCACCCTTCCTGTGCGACCTCAAGTTGACCATTGACCTAATTTAGTAATTTTTCGTGCTGCACTTTATTCTTAAATTTAAATTTTTACCAAACAAATCTATTCATAAATAAAGGAATAAAATATTTTACGAGAGTCTACATCAATCACGTCTCTTTTACTTGGCACAAAAAAAAGTGTTCAGCTGGACTATGAGGATTTTTCTTGAATCACACTCTTGCAACGGTTTCAGGACATTTTGTCAACGATTTTTTGTCCGCGCACCTTTTTTGTCCAGTAGTTTACGCCCACACGTAAAACAAGCAACGGTGACTTGTTTCAAGCGTTATATTTTAGTCGGTATGTAAAATTATATTGACAATATGGAAATGAGAGATTCAGAGAGAAAGAGGTATTGTTATGGTTGCTCATTATCTAAATGAAATGTTTTTACTTTTATCTCCTTTTGAATCATCTTTTTAAATTGTCATTGGAGAATATTTGGTTTTATTTCGGCGGCGCCTAAATCAACCATTTAACAACAGAGGTGTTGCACAATATTATACGAAATTGAACGTATTAAGAATGACAGGCATCCTTTAAAAGTACAGATCTTTCCTCGCAAAAAAAATCAAGATACTTATTGTACACTGGAAAAATCTAAGAGCCTTTATCTGAGGCAAATATAGAAGTTTATCCGTTTCAGGTATAACAAGGTGGGAATTTCTTGAAAGATAATCAAGTCCTGTTAAACCAAAGAGGTGTAGAGAGTTTTAGTGAATTTTGTCTCATGGAATTGACGCTCCCCCATTTTTACCAAAACTCTCAACTATATAAAATTCTCCATTGGACCAAACAGACAAAACAAAAAACAAGCAAACCCTCATTCTTCCAGGACATTATATATTTTCATCCAAAAACGTCGTGAGCAATTGTCGTTTGTATTTACATGTGAGCCAATTAACTTCGGGTCTCACTTGCACATGGACTAAAACTCCCGTGCCGAAAAAACGCGTGGACGTAAATTACTGGAAAAAACAGGTGCGCGGACAAAAAATCGTTGACGAAATGTCCTATAACCCTTGCAACGAACAATTTTTGAACAAAAACAGAAAAAAAAATGAGATTTAAGCTTAAACTTCAATTGTTTTATATTAAAGAAAAACATGTACTAAAACTGAACCAAGCATAAGGCATAAATAATTTTAAAATTAAAATAGATAAATTTAGTTTTTAGAAGTTTTTTTTCTTTCGTGTTTTCCCCACTTCAAAGTTCAGAACTGATACGTTGTCAGTGTATACTTTCGAGCGATAACGCAACTTAAATATAACCCAAACTTTTTGATGTAACACTTTAATAAAATTCTTTTACTTTTCGCTTCCAAAGTCTTTTCTCCTTTTTCTTGTATTATTAAGATAATTTTGGTTTCCTCTGTACACCAAGTGAATCACATTCTATTTGCGATACTGTTACTTCTCTGGCATCTCTTTGGTGTTGTCATTTATTAGTAGCTAAAGATGTTCCTGTTTTGGAAAGATTTATTTTTAAGATGTCTTTAATAGAGATATGGTCCTTTATGTGTCAAGCTGTATTTCTAAATATAAATGTACATAAGATGGTGATTACATTCCTACAACAATTTTTTGCATTCTTTCATTTTATTTGTAAAACATTTTATTTCTGTTCGTTTCTTTTTGTTTTACTATCAATTTTCCTAACTCAGGTATAATTCAAAGTACGCATTGATTTTTTTCTAAAATTATTTTCGGCAACTATCGGGCTCTAAAACCTACCAACGTCGCGCGGAGACTTCTCATAATGGCTGGAGAAGTGAAAATGAAGTGTCATGTCCAGCGGCGCACAGTGGATCGAGTCAATCAGCGAAGTCGGACATTAAATTTTTGACTAAAACTGCAAATTTTGATGTTTTGCTGGAAGCAAAGTCTACGAGAAAACCATTGAAACCACGTTTGGAACCTCAAAATTTTGTATTGACGGAGTAGAAAGCTTCAATAGTTTCCAAATTTGGTCCGACCTGTCCTATTGACTCGATCCATTGATCAGCCATTTAAACCAATCGAAAAGGATCGATAAACAGGATATTCGCAACGAACACCTTAATAATCGATTCATTACCATAGCTTTAAATGGGGAAATATCGATAATCGATCATTTACGCACCTCCACAGGATTCATGTCACGAAGTTTCGCCCAGGCCTTCATTTATGGCATTCGCCGTGTAGAACAATGTCATGTCGTTTTCAAGGTAACATGTCGGATCCCAACAGAACCACGAACCCAAATGTCGTTTTTCCATTTCACATTTTACGCCGTAACAAATAGTTTTTTTACAGTGCATGAAACTTTGTCACTTGGCTTTTAGTATTACCTAAAGTAGGTATATCCGGAGGTTGGAAATTTTTTTAAAAAAAAAATATTGTGAGACTCGGAGGATATTTTGCAGTATATGTGCTCCAGCATATCGTTTCGCGATGTATCGATTAATCTTCCAGTTACACCTATTGAAAAGGATCGATACACAGGATGTTTGCAACAAACACCTTGATAATCGATTCTTTACCATAATTTCAAATGGGGAAATATCGATAATCGATCATTCATGCCTCGCCACTGTTAAAAAGCGAACACGCGCTGTTCTGATTCACTTGCAAATAGGTCATCTAAAAAATCACATTAATATTCCTACCCAATCAACGCTGACGGTATGAGACCGAAATAAATTCATTTTTTTCTCTCTCTCTTTTTTTTTTGGTTTTTACCGCTGATTAGATTTTGAGGAAAAATTGGGAAAATTCTGTGCGACTCGAAATGAAGGGGAGATTGGGCCCACGATGACGATAAAGGGTCTAGGTAAAATTAACTTTTCTTTCTGCGAGCCGAAATCTGTCTTCTAGTTCATCACTCGGTATTAGGACAAAAGTTTAATGGCTTATTAGCCACCCCACGCAACTTATATTCAACTTGTTGGAGAAGCTTACTCGAGCGTTTTACGACACTGTACTGCCATAGATTGAAGATAATTTAAAGTATACCTACCTTAAGTTTTTTTTCTGTTTTAAAGTTTTTGCTAAAATTTCAATTGTTACGCAAGTTCTGAATTTTAATGCATTGATTTTCATCCGCTTACTTTCACATGCTAAGTAATAGTTTTTACCGGCAAGAAAAAGTTAACACACTGACATCATGTTCCACGGATGTGTTTCAAAAACGTTGTGGTTTTTTTTTTTTTTTTTGTGATGACAAAAAACAGAACATTTTGGAGGAAACACCGGTATCAGTCAATAGCACGATTGCCAGTTATACTAAACGAATTCCCATAAATATAATAAGAATAGAATATTTTCACTTAGCGAAGAAATGCCCTTGAAGATATAAACGGTGAAACCGCAAAAATGCGTACAAAGGTTGCGATGTTTCAAAATATCCATTTCTACTTTTTTTTTTTTTTTTTTTTTTTTTTTTTTTTTTTTTTTTTTTTTTGTGAGGGGACCGAGCATAAATCATGCTTTGAAATTTTCACAGAATATTTCGCACATAGAGAAGAAAATTCACCGGAATTTTCAAGAAATGATTAGTAGTTTTTTAAGATACTGATACTGATACTGATACATTCGATACTGATATCGAAACTGCACTCGAATGCGATATTTTCTCTCTAAAATAACCACGCTTTTATTAATTTGAATTTCTTTGTTAAAAGTGGTAAGTGAGTGCTTCAGTCTCTTGAAAACAGAATTGCGATCTCAAAATTGGAGAAAAATGACGAGTAGCTAAAAAAATGGAACCAATTGATGCGATATATCACATGCCGTTCTGACACAAAATATGGCGTTCATCAAATCACCTTAAACCTCATATTTTGAATTCCGTGTCTCCAAGTTTCCACTTCATTCGCTACAAAAAAAAGAGAAAAAAATATCATGCAGCAGGAAAAGCATATCGGATAACAACGATAATGAATCTTTTTTTGGGAGTTCCCAGAAATTTGTAAATTGCGATGCACTCTCCGTCCATCCAAAAAGCCTGAAGTTTCTATCTCTGATGTGGAAATCCGTTTCCTAGATTTGCGTAGCGTATCCATCACGCGCGTCATTAAAAAATCGTAGATCAGGAATTTCGCGAACCGAATTTTATTTATGGATCGAATTCGATGCATCGAACAGGTGAGATTGTATCGATATTGATTGGTTCAACACGTAAACATAGTATTCAAACGCATTCTTGGTTGAGCATGTTGAAATGCTATATATGAACCGTGTTTAGCAGAAAGGAACCAAGCCACGTCAGCTATTGCCAAAAACAGGGTAATTTAATTTTTTACAAGATAACTTCGATTTGAATTATTTTTAAAATGTTAAGGAATTTGCATCATATGACGCAGATAATTCACTGAAATTTGCACAAAAATCCGCACAACCGTTTTCATGTAAAAAGTTAAATTGCTCAGTTAAATTTGGCAATAGCTGATGTGGTTTCTGCTTAACGCGGTTCATATAATGGTCCGTATATTAAAATGATCAAAATAGGAATCGTGGTACCATACATTTTATT